GCAGAACTGAGTTACACAGACTAAAGGGAACCTTCTGCTCTTTCAGCCCCCCTAGTAGGAGGCAGGCACGCCTGAAAGAGGCTGAAAATCAACAGTGTTGGTTGCAAAGTTGTGAAAATAAAACGGGTTGCACACTTGAGAGAACCATGCAATCAGCATGAAGTTGCTTTCCCTTAGTGGCCAAGACACTGCACATTATCCCTTCTTTTTAATTCCAGTGCTAAGTGGCTAATTTTTTTTTTTTACTTTTTTTACTGTATATCTTTTATTGAATCTTTGTGCATTTCATACAAAACATTGTAATCATATTTATACCCCTCCCCCATCCACACACCCCCCAGAGCCTCCACCCTCGCCAGATTTCATGCATTATATCATCTATGTTAAGGCCTAGCAAATCACATTTGTGTACCCAGATGTCCCTCAGTGCAAGTTCATCCACTGGGGTCTAGTCAGCCTATCTAGAGTCACTCCCTTAAAGGAGATCAACTCTCCCTCACCCAGCAGTAATCAGTTCTTCAGCTAAGCTTTGGGTCTTCTGCCCATTTCCTCAGTTCTATGCTAGGTTTTTGTCTGCTTGAGTTTGCATGGGCCTTGTGAATCCTGACACCATCACTGTAGGCTCATATGAGCAAGGTCCCAGGAGGCTTGTAAGACTCTTATATCCCTATGGTCATGCACCTCCTCCCCTGGATCTTACAATCTTTCTGCCCCCTCTTCTGCAGTGGTCCCTGAGCCCTGGGTGGGTAAAGTTTAATACAGGAGTCCTGTCCAGGGACCCACACTCTGAAGACTTATTCTCTATGTTTTGGCCATTTGTGGCTTCCTCTCTAAGTGGGTGATTTTCTGTTTCACACACTATTTTTTGAGTTTATTTATTATTTATCTATCTATCTACCTATCTACCTATTTATATATTTATTTACTTTGAAACAGGGTCTCAGTGTAGTCCCAGCTGGCCTGGAACTTGCTATGTAGACCAGGCTGGCTTTGACCTTACAAAGAGCCACTGACCTCTGCCTCTCAACTGCTAGGATGAAAGGCATGTACCACCATGCCCAGCTATTTTTATTTTTTAGGTATATGAATGTTTTGCTTGCATGTATGTATGTGTTCCATGTGTGTGCCTAGGTGTTCCTGGTACCCCAAGAGGTGAGAAGAGGGTGTTGAATCCCCTGAAACTGGAGTTACAGGTGGTTGTTTGTCACCATGTGGGTGCTGGGAACTGAACCTGGGCCCTCTGCAAGAGCAGCCAGTGCTTTTAACTGCTGAGCCATCTCTATAGCTCCTTTCACACACTATTTTTACTGGCTCTTAAATTGTTTTTCAAAATTGCATGAATAATTTCTAGGATCCTATCATAATTCTGGATTAATTTGGATGCTTGAAGAGGGAGGGGAAAAGTTACTGATTACTAAATTCACATACACATTTGGGAATTTCTTAAAACTTCTCCATTCAAAGTTACATACCCTCAGCTTTGGTGTATTGCTTTAACCAAAGGTAGGAGAACCCATCTAGCACTCCCTTCTACTCAAAAGGAACAGGAGAATGGTCCCAGCATCCAAGTCTCTATCGCCTCAGATGTTATAATGTACATACCTGTCCACCACCTCTATCCTCATGGATGACAGAGAGACAGAGAGAAAACTCCCATGGTTCTTTTTACAAGGCACCAATAGCAGGAGACGTCCATCCTCATGACCTAATAACTTCCCAAAGCCCCACCTCCTGATATTATCACATTAGACTTGAGTTTCAGCATGAACTTGGTAGAGAACACCAAGACCTTAGTTCCTGAATTTCTGGTCATGACAGTAGTGTCTGTTCTAGCTTACTTTTCTATTGCTATGGTATGCACCAGGACTAAAAGCAACTTAGGGGAGGAAAGGGTTTATTTCATCTT